TGACCGCCTCTAGTACTGTACCCCTAGATTCATTTCCCCATCCATTCCCTCTCTTGCTAATCTCTCTCCCATACCCCACCGCATTTATGACGTCGGCTTGCCTTTTTTTTGACCCCTCTTTCCCCCTCCCCGATCCACCAGATGACCTATGTGTGGTGACCCGTGTGGACCCCGTGATCAGCCTTTTTCTCTACCCTTTTCTCATCCCCATCCACACAAGGCACACTCCAGGCACCACTTTCCCCCCAACTGTCTTACCCACCAATCGATCCATCCCTCCCCACCCATTCGTCTTCCCGATTTTGGATGTTGGGGGACCAAAAATGCATCCGGACTATAGGGGAGCTGGGATTTGTGAAAAAAGAAAGCCGAACAGGGAACTAATAAAATCCGATTCTGGCAATGAGTCTGATTTAAAAAGCTAAATGCATGATAGAAAACTTTCAGCAGAAAACTGAACTGATAGTGAGTCTGAAACTCAACCAAGTGCAGAATCCAGAAACCTACTGCAACCGTCTGAAAAACTTGCACATTTCTGGCTTAAATTCTTGTCTGTATTGTCTTTATTGTTTGTCTGCATTGTCTGTAATGACAGAAAAAGTAATGAGAGTTTAAATATTGAAATAAACGATACTTTTCCGTTCCGTAAAAATAACCCCGGATCATTTAATAATCAAAAATCGATCAATTTAATCAAAATCAAAAAATAAACATCAAAATAAGATGAATGAGAAATCGATGACGTAGCAATTTGTGGTAAGATCCATTCGTAGAAATCGAGATAGCTCGTCGAGCCATGAATTCAACGAGATAGCTCGATAGGAAATGATGTGCCGTGCCGTGATGCTTGCTTCTCCATTTAGCAGATCCCTATAGACGCTTGATCGTCTGGGTGTGAATAGAAGGGTAATCCGGATTTAGGAAGTTGTAGTTGTGGTTGATTTGAGCGTTGGTAAAGCCGGCTTTCTTCATCTTTCTCCATCTGTTGAGTCCTCGCCAACAATCGAAGTAAATTTGGGCTGGATGTGTCCAATCATCGCTTCAAATAGAGCGGTCGGCCGATCGATCGGCTACCTCATGCAAATGAATGCAAATTTTGTAATTTGTTGCTAATTTGAATGATTTGTGGCTAATTGAAGTGATTTGTTGAGATTTTCCATTGAAATGTCAAGATAATGGGCTGTTTAAAGGCACAGAGGGCCTTAAACTTTCCACAAAGGGCGACAGATACCTGTCTCGTCGGTTTAATTACCCAAGTTTGAGGTTAGCATTAACCCCGAGACCTTGTCGAAGTGTATCGGACAAATTTTGGAACGCGTCTCCGTAAGGAGATGCACTAAACAATCGAAACCTCAACTGTTGCAGGGTTTTTCGCTCAAATCGAGTGATTTGTTGCTCGATTACGTGTTTTGGGGCTAATTCAAATGATTTGTTGACATTTTCCATAGAAATGTCAAGATAATGGGCTGTTTAAGCCGTTAATGATTTAAGTGTTGATGATTTAAGTGTTTTTTTGGTTAAATCGAGTGATTTGTTGCTAATTTGAATGTTTTGTGGCTAATATAACGGAAAAGAACCAAATAAACATTCAATTTCTTACTAATGTATTTCACAAAAATTCGATATTCGATAAGAAAAGCAATTCTTAGCTTTCAGTTTTCAGATCGAACAAGATAGAAGAGGCAAAGAGTGATCATTCGGCCTCCTTTGTTCTTCTTTTTTGCTTCTTTTTTTCAATGTTTTCAATAGCTGTTTATTTATTTATTTCAATATTTAAACTTTCATTCGTTTTTGGTTTAATGATTCAATAAAATTTGATGAAGAAATCACAAAATTTGACTTAATTTAGCTTGAAAAGAGATTCAAGTGACCAAGATGAATTTCCACAAGAATACAAATCCAAATCTAGCCTACAAACTAGCTGAAAAAACTTCCTTGAAAACCTTTTACATAAATTGACTTTGATTCTCTTAAGAGTTTCAAATTCGGTTTTTTTTGGAACTATTTTGCTACATAAGTTCTTGGATTCAAAGGACTTGGATTCTTTAGAAGAAGGAGTGGTCGCTACTGATCTGGATCAAGATACTGATCTACTGATCTGGACCAAGATACTGATCTACTGATCTGGACCAAGATACTGATCTACTGACCTGGACCAAGATACTGATCTACTGATCTGGACCAAGATACTGATCTACTGGCCTGGACCAAGATACTGATCTACTGATCTGGACCAAGATACTGATCTACTGACCTGGACCAAGATACTGATCTACTGATCTGGACCAAGATACTGATCTACTGACCTGGACCAAGATACTGATCTACTGATCTGGACCAAGATACTGATCTACTGATCTGGACCAAGTCGCTACTGATCTGGACCAAGACCAAGATGCGGCGCCCAGAAGTGACAGCACAAAGGAGCATCTCGAGAAGATCAGAGTTTGGTCATGCTCCTTTTTGGTCATGATCCTTTTGGCCATGATTCAATGAAATTTGATGAAGTAATCACAAAATTTGACTTAATTTAGCTTGAAAAGAGATCCAAGTGATCGAGGACATCAATTGAGCACAAAAAAGCACCAAAATCAAAACACAGTACTCACTTTTACCTTTTCTCACCAACAATTGTATTGGTGATGGGAGGACGCGTGGCTGTGCCCTTTTCCCATCCATTGAATCATGACCAAAAAGGTCGGCAAGGCTTTGATTCAGTTTTTCAGGATTCAGATGGGAAATTGCAATATAAAGTCTTATGAAATTGATCTTATTCTTATTACAAATTGATTATTAATCAAGAATGCTTGAGTTTCTCTTAAAAAGTGCGGCTTTCGTTTGAAATTTTCAAATTTTCAGCTTATCAAATGAAATTTGGCCGAAAAAACGAAATGACCGCAAAATTCTTTTCGTTTTTCGCCAAGTTCGCCAAATTTTCAGCAAAAGTAGCTAGACTAGCTAGACTAGCTAGACTAGCAAAAGCTAGAATTTTTTCATCTAGTTTGTAGGACTAGCTTTTCAAACGAAGATTTTCAAACGAAGCTTTTCACAAAAAGATAACGAAAAGCTTGAAATATTGAAAAAATTTGATTTATTACTATATTTCTCAATATAGTTCTCATTCAAAAACAACAAAAGAAGAACAGAGCACCGAATGATTACTGTCTGCGTCTCCTATGCATTTTTCTTCTAAAGATTTGGTTGATAAGGCCTAAAAATCTAGATTTAGCCTAGTTCCTTTTTAACCAAAGAGTTCCAAAAAAGGCCGAAGCCTAGTTCCTTTTTAGCCAAATATTTAGCCTAGTTCCTTTTTAGCCAAATAGTTCCAAAAAAAGCCGAATTTCAAACTCTTTAAGAGAATCAAAGTCAATTTATGTAAAAGGTTTTTAAGGAAATTTTTTTTCAGCTAGTTTGTAGGCTAGATTGGGACTTGTATTCTTGTGGAAATTCATCTTTTCTTTCAAAAAGAGAAAAAATCGAGTGTTGATTAGAAATGAAAAGGGCAAAAAAGGCAAAAAGAAGAAAAAAAGCACACTTATCATCACTGTCTCATCACTGTCTGATCACTGTCTTCGTCTCCAATCGACTGGCTGACCTATTCATCCACTTGGGAAACTAATTAAACCCAAACCCACATTTTAGATCTTAAAAGAATCAAGATTTGTTGTGAAAGTAATTTTAATTCGAGCTGTAAACTGGAAGCTGAGAATTGCTTTTCTCGAAAAAGGGAGCGGTGAAATGAGAGTTCTTCTTTCACGCTTTTGAAGATTCTCCCACAATCAGTTTAAACAGCTTGTTTATCACCGGATTCAGCTCTTTTTCTCCTGGTTTTTTTCGTGCTTGATTCTTCTTGCCTACACTTCTTTTCACCAGCTTCCAGTTAGAAAGAAAAGAAAAAAAAAATGCTTCGACAACTACATCAGAAAGAAATACCACGAGCAAACTTTTAAAGGACTTGGATTCTTGACCAGTGGTCGCTACTGATCTAGGACCAAGATGCGGCGCACAGAAGTGACAGCAGAAAGGAGCATCTCGAGCACATCAATTTAGAGTGTATCTACGTGAAGGAAAATTGCAATGAGATTCAATGAAATGAGCTGGGTTTATAGGAAATTTGATACCTGAAAAAAATTGTGTTGAAAATCATTTTCCTGGAATCTCGTTGGCTACTATTGGAGGGATCTTCGACGTGATCCGATGGTGTTTGGAAATTTGAACACCGCACCCTTCTCGAAAAAGGGAGCGGTGAAATGAGAGTTCTTCTTTCACGCTTTTGAAGATTCTCCCACAATCAGTTTAAACAGCTTGTTTATCACCGGATTCAGCTCTTTTTCTCCTGGTTTTTTTCGTGCTTGATTCTTCTTGCCTACACTTCTTTTCACCAGCTTCCAGTTAGAAAGAGAAGAAAAAAAAATGCTTCGACAACTACATCAGAAAGAAATACCACGAGCAAACTTTTCAAGGACTTGGATTCTTGACCAGTGGTCGCTACTGATCTAGGACCAAGATGCGGCGCACAGAAGTGACAGCAGAAAGGAGCATCTCGAGCACATCAATTTAGAGTGTGCCCGGAGGAACGACAAAATACTTGCAACCTGCTGATGTTTCTTGGAATGCACCGTGCAAAGCAAAGATTCAACAACAGTATGAGAATTGAATTTTGACATAGGCTCCATCATTATGCCCAAATTCTTGGAGGTAGATTTTTCCCATAAATTTTCTATTTTTCTATTTCTCCCATAAATTTGTTAGGATTTTTGAACAATTTTTGCGCTCACAGTGAACACAAAACCTCCATTTTTAAGGGTTTTTGTTGGTTAAACAAACAGCTAAATTGAGAGAATAGTGCGGCTTCTCCTAGCCGACCTAGCCAGAGCCGACCTCTACACCAAAGTAACTTATTTGATTATTTATTTGGTCATAAAATATTCGATTTTGTGCGCTTGACTCAAATTTTATTGCAACAACTTTACAGATAGCAAATAAATGAATTTAAATCACAATGTGTAAATCATCGCCACATGTAACGGTTGAATATCTCCATCGACAACCACCGAATGATAGCCGACGTTTTTGTCGATGGTCGGATAGTGAACAAAAAATGATGGGCAAGTGTAGTTGAAGCCGGCGATTTGAACGAAAACCTGGAAAAGAGGAAAGTTGAAGAAAGAGAACCGATTGAAAATGAAGAAGAATGAAAAACTTTTCACTTTCCAAAGCGACTCTCGCTATTTTTTCAAGATTTTCTCGATTTCTTTATGATTTCGAAGACTTTCGATAGATTTGATAGAAAAATTTTAGACTTTTTCGCTCTTTTCGAGTCTATTGCTTTATCTAGCACATTACTTTTCAAATCCCTCTTTCCTTTCATTTTAAAAGCTGATAAGGAGCAAAAAGTAAGGAAAAGCACATTCTAAATGGTATACTTGTACGTTCGTTTAGACGATTTTCCCAGTTCTCAGCAGTTCTCAGCAGTCTCAGTTCTAGTTTGCGTTCAGTTCTTTCCAAAGTTCGATTCCAGTATGTAATCTATTTGATTATTCTATTATTTTAAGAAAAATGAATGCTCTTAAAACAATTTCCCTATCAATCAACTACAAGCAGGCATGAAATCAAATTTTCTATCGAATGAAAGCAAATTCAACGTTTTTCAAACAAATCCGGTCAAAGAACGAGCAAAATACGTAGATTGCCAACGGCAAACGGACCGAAAAAGGAGCGGTGTTAACATGGCTAACTATCAGACCGCTTTTCCTAGTAGAACACCAAAAATCATTCTACCAAAACTAGTCTTAACCCGGCCCATTATCCATACAATTTGTGCCAGGTTACGCTTTACGGTGGACAGACTACGGTGGACAGACTACGGTGGACAGACTACGGTGGACAGACTACGGTGGACAGACTACGGTGGACAGACTACGGTGGACAGACTACGGTGGACAGACTACGGTGGACAGACTACGGTGGACAGACTACGGTGGACAGACTACGGTGGACAGACTACGGTGGACAGACTACGGTGGACAGACTACGGTGGACAGACTACGGTGGACAGACTACGGTGGACAGACTACGGTGGACAGACTACGGTGGACAGACTACGATAGACAGACTACGGTGGACAGACTACGGTGGCCAGACTACAGTGGACAGACTATGGTGGACAGACTACGGTGGCCAGACTACAGTGGACAGACTACGGTGGACAGACTATGGTGGACAGACTACGATGACCAGACTATGGTGGACAGACTACGATGGCCAGACTACGGTGGACAGACTACGGTGGACAGACTACGGTGGACAGACTACGGTGGACAGACTACGGTGGACAGACTACGGTGGACAGACTACGGTGGACAGACTACGATAGACAGACTACGGTGGACAGACTACGGTGGCCAGACTACAGTGGACAGACTATGGTGGACAGACTACGGTGGCCAGACTACAGTGGACAGACTACGGTGGACAGACTATGGTGGACAGACTACGATGGCCAGACTATGGTGGACAGACTACGATGGCCAGACTACGGTGGACAGACTACGGTGGACAGACTACGGTGGACAGACTACGGTGGACAGACTACGGTGGACAGACTACGGTGGACAGACTACGGTGGACAGACCACTGTGGCCAGACTACAGTGGTCAGACTACAGTGGTCAGACTACGGTGGACAAATCACGTTTTAAAGAGCTTGCCCGACATAGAGAACTTGAATATATCCAAGTTTGCAAGTCAGACTTTTAACATTGATGCCATAGAAAAGATTTGGTTTTGAAATCTGGTTTTTGATGCCATAGAAATGATTTGGATTAAAACTGACCGATAAAGCCGGTGTCGTATTCGAGATGACCACGTCCATGATTTGATTTGAACTGAAACCCTTTTTTCCGTTGACTAACTTATTCACAAACTCAAATGGAATCTCCGGTATCCCGCAGTCAACCGATGTGCCCTGTGTTGTCCAAGTTCCGCTAATGTTGTTGCTGATCACGTACTGGAAGAAGCGAACTGTTTTGAAATGCTAACGGAGCGCTTGCAGCATGCAAGTATAAAGTTCAAAATCCACCTGTTGATTTGGTATATCCATTGACCATCGAAAGTTCACCGTCGTGCCCGTTCCCAACAAATCGATCGTGAAATTCGTGCCCATTCCGCTGTCCACAACCACGCAAACGGTCATCCCTGTCATTCTTTATTCTCGCAACGCAGCTCTTTGTTTTGTCAGCTCAATCATCAATCACAAATCGATGAATTTAGTATATATAGTAATCTTTTCAAATTCCCGGCATAATTAGCTGTAATAAGCTGGTAGAAATTTTTTTTATACACAAGTAAAACGGCAACGTAATTGCCATTGGCAATCCAGCTTTGAGCTCAAATTTCTTGGTGTTGAGCTGTTTAATTGAAATAGTTTTGGTACCAGTCGATAGAGAAGTACTTGACACATCTAATGATACCAAGAATATTTAAATTGGATAGCCTAAAGCCAAGATATTTGAGCTCAAAATGAGACTGCCAATCGCAAAGGGGCAGGACGCTTATAAAAGATCGATCGACCCGCCCGTTTTGCCAATCCAACTTTGCACACAAATATCTTGGCTTTTAGCTGTCCACTTGAAATAGTTTTGGTACCAATCGATAGTGAAAGACTTGACGCATCTAATGATATTAAGAATATTGCAATTGGAGAACCCAACACCAAGATATTTGAGCTCAGAGCTAGATTACCAATGGCAGGGAGCAGGGCGTGTATCGAATGTCTGATAGGCTGTGGAATTTGTTACTGAATTTGTTAGTTTGTTTCTTTGTTTCTTTGTTTCTTTGTTTGTTTCTTTGTTCGTTTGTTTGTTTTTTAATGTAAAACCAATCCGAAACCATTTACCATTCGGGAAAATATTGTCCTGTGTAGGGAAACGAAAAGTGGTCGGGGTGATCATTGACTGAAGATCTTTTGAAAATTTTCTCATTTCGCTATCAAACCTGATTCCAGTGTTGATAATTTCTCAATAAAAACCCTCCGCGCAGCCCGATCGAGTTGACATTTTGAATGGGAAAAGTGAAGGGATAGTTGAAGATATTCCAAAGACTTTTCCCATTCGTGAAATAGATTGAGTATTGCGAGTCGAGAACACTGAAATTTGAAATTTTTCGTTCCACCGCTTTCGCAATTTTCAACAATTACGCAATCTTCAACAAACCGTATAAATATCATGTGATTCTCTGTGGTCAACGAGCTTGTCACCGCCGTTCCCGTTCGATCCATCGCATAAATTTTGCCGTCCTTTTGGAGTTCTTGTTTCTGGGATCAGAAGTTGGAGAAACAAGCGAAAAAGTCAAAAAGAAGTCAAAAAGCCAAGCTTTTTCTACAATTTACACTTCAATAAACTTCAACTCGATAGAGCGAATCTAGAAAATTGCAGAAAAAATCACTCGGTACCTCGATTTTCTCAGAGAAACGAAGAAAATTAGAAACTTTAAAAGCCTTACACTTTAAAGCAAAGAGCAGCAGCGATCAGCAAACCAAAAACCTAGTTGTCGGTAAGTTTTAAACGCAAAGTGTTCACAAAATCAGCAAGCACATTAAAGCTTCTCACCATATCATCCCCAAATCTCAAAATGTCTTGTGGTGGAAATGATCCATTCGCTGGCACATATTCATATTGGATTCTCAAGCCGGTCATCTCGTCCACTCCCAAACGCACCTCATAAGTACTGAAAAGGCAAAAAACTCATAATAAACTCATAACAAACAAACAAACTCTCATAACAAACCAGGCTAACAGTCATTTTTATCTTTTTCCGGATAACTCTTTGTTTTTTTGGTACCTAATCTATTGGGTTGGTGAATTGAAAACTGCCGGCTATTGTCATATGCAACAGTTTGAGCACTTTCTTCAAAAGAAACCTATTTTGGTGTCAATGGAAAAGTTGTAGAGAATCAAAAATCAAGCTTATATCCAAATTTTCAGAACGATTCAAAAACTGGTTTTCAAGAAATGCCAAATTTAAGAAGGAAAAGCCAAATTCTCACAAAACTTGCATTTTAAGCGAAACTACTTCGTGTATCTTTTTGAAAATTTGGCTATAAGCCTAATTTTTGATTCTCTACAATTTTTCTATTGACACCAAAATGGGTTTCTTTTGAAGAAAGTGCTCAAACTGGGAGTCCTCCATCCTCCTCTCCAGTCCTCCATCCTCCTCTCCAGTCCTCCATTTTTGAGTCTCACACTTGTCTCACACACAAACCAAAATCCTACTATGAAAGAGGAATCCGCAAATTGCCTTTAAAATGGGCAGAAGTCATCAATAATAATGGAAGTTATTTGGAATGAATTTATGGTTTTATGTTGAATAAATTTTAGTTCAAAGTCTCGCAGCTTTCAATTCACCAAACCAATAATTGTTACCTAATCGAGTCATTCGGCCTTCCCGATATGTAAATGATCGCCCCGGTATTCAGCAGTGATTCCATATTCTCGATGATTTCCATTGTGTATTCACTGATCGGATCGCTGCCTATCGTCATCCCGGATGTGAGGGAAAAGAACTGAAATTAAGCCTGTAAAGAAGACCTTTCGTTACCCAGTGATCAATAATAATAAGTTTCCTAAAGTTCTGACCAATTAAGCTCTCGAGCTCCAATTTGTAGACTTAACAAAATGAATATCTCCAAGATTGTTCAATCAACTCCATCTCCATCTGCCAGATCCCGAAAACCCGCGGCTACAAATTTACAGCTGAATATCTTCTTTTTGTGCCATCTACAAAGCAAAAGAAGAATGACAATGGCTGGCGAGGTGTTTTTTGTGCAATCGCTTTCCATCTGGCGCACCGCCCTGGCATAAGCACTTCCCTTTTGAATTCCCGAAAGTAAAGGAGAGGGACTGAATCAAAATTTCAATCGAAATTATTGCTTTGTTGGAAAGAAAAGAAAAATAAATGCTTCGACAACGACATCAGAAAGAAAAAGCGAACTTTCAAAGGACTTGGATTCTTTAACAAAAACGAGCGTTCGCTTTTGATCTGAGACCAATATGCGGCTCACAAAAGTGACAGCACAAATGAGCATCGTGAGGAGACCAATTTGGATTGTATCTACGTGCCCGGAGGAACGGAAAAATACGTGCAACCTGCTCCTTCCCCTTTACTTTTTTCAAAGGGGAAGCCTTTTATACCAGAGAGATTTGCCATTAACAAAAACAAGCGGTCGCTTCTGATCTGGGATCAAGATGCGGCTCACAAAAGTGACAGCACAAAGGAGATCAATTTGGAAGATCTCGAGAAGATCTCGAGAAGATCTCGAGAAGATCAATTTGGATTGTGTCTATTATGCCTTTTATGCTCACTATGCCCAAATTTCAGAGAGCAATTTTTGGCTTGAATTTGTTAGTATTTTTGAACAATTTTTGAGGCAGAGAGAACACAAAACTTTCGTTTTTATGGGTCTTTGTTGGTTAAACAAGCAGCTATATCGAGAGAACGTTGCGACATGCAATTTCTTTTTACAAAACTAATCAGCTTCGTTCATAAAACATTAGATCTGTTTTGTCTGGGCCATAACTTGACTCCCAGTAAGCACTTCGGATTGATTTTGAGAATAATTTGCAATCAATGGCTAGGATTTGGTCTGTCAAATGGAAACTGGCTTGGATAAGCCCAACTTTTCGCCGTAAATAGCCACTAAAAACCGTTTTCAGCTGACGAGAAACTTTTTAAGAGTTTTCAAGAAGGAGGATCGACAAAATACTTGCAACCTGCTCCTTCCCCTTTACGTTTTCCAAAAGGGAAGCCTTCTATACCAGAGGGATTTGCCATTAACAAAAACGGTTTTCGATTTTTAAGAAACAAAACTTTTCACTTACCAATACTGACATCAAAATCATCGAAAACAATCCGTTCTTCATCTTCGGCATAACTCGATCGATTCAGGAAATGATGTGAAAATCAAATGAGCTATTTTTCTCCGTGTTCTCTCGTGAAATCGATGGAATTTCTCGTTTTTCGGGGTTTTTCGAGGCTTCACAGTGGTCATCCGAGCAATTAGCGATGGCTCAACGATGGGCGAAAAAAAAACCAAAAAAGCCTTATTGAAAACCATCGAAATGCACATGTTTCGACCGGATTTCGATTGTTGATTGGTTTGGGATATTTTTGAGATTGAGAAGCTTTGATGTTGTGCTTTGAGGTTGAGAAGCTTTGATGTTGTGCTTAGAGGTTGAGAAGCTTTGATGTTGTGCTTAGAGGTTGAGAGGCTTTGATGTTGTGCTTGGAGGTTGAGAGGCTTTGATGTTGTGCTTGGAGGTTGAGAGGCTTTGATGTTGTGCTTGGAGGTTGAGAGGCTTTGATGTTGTGCTTGGAGGTTGAGAGGCTTTGATGTTGTGCTTGGAGGTTGAGAGGCTTTGATGTTGTGCTTGGAGGTTGAGAAGCTTTGATGTTGTGCTTAGAGGTTGAGAAGCTTTAAAGACAAATGATTTTGATGAAAATGAACAAGAATCATACTTTTGGATACTGCGAAGTGTGCTTTTTAGTGTAAATAAATCGAAAAAGACATCAAAATTGTTGAAAAGTGCTCGCTCGTCAAATTCAAAAGCGCTTTACCCAATAGCTTAGCATTTCAAGCTCTCATTCGGGAGTGTGCTTCAGGGATTTTCCTAGGACAAGGAGTGTTTCAAATTGAAATTCTCAAGGAAAAGTCAAGTTAAGCTTAGACTGAAGCTTGACTTTTCACTTGAATTTGATTTTCCTTTTTTTTCCTGAACACGAAACAAAAAAGTTGATTGAACAATGGCTTTTTAGCTTACAAGGGGATCTTTTCAGAGTGATTGTCAACGAAAAATTTCGGTTTGGGTACTTAATTTGGGTTTTAAATTTGGATTTGGGTAATTAGTGATTTAAAAGCTACAAAAGGAGATCCGGGAACGGTATCATCAGCAAATTTCTTCCTGTATTAGAATTTCGTTTCCCCAAATTCGCATACGAGGATGCTGGAGGTCAGTACAGATTTCGAACACGTTAAATTTGATTTTCGGTGTACTTTGAATTTTCGGTGTATTTTTGCAAACTCACTCCTCCCTGGTACTGAATTATTTCTCGATTTTTCAAAATCTAACGAATCCAAGGTGTAGTGTGACATCCAGCTTACGTGCAGCTAAAAGAATTTTGAGACTTCGATAACCAGAAATAAAGTTATTCAGCTGATAAGGATTTTCAGACAAAGTTTACATTTAACTCTAAAATTTGGATCAAATACCGTATCTCAGGTGCCTTCCTTATCTCGTATCTGTCTTGGCTTAACGCTTGACGCCTGGCCAGGCCTTGAAGACAATAGGAAGACATTCCAGACATTCCAGACAAAGAGGAAGACATTCCAGAGTCCAGGCTTAGAGCTAGCTTCTGATTTGGCCTGGCTTACGGGTTGAAACCCCTTGCCCCGGTACTGAGAAGGTTCATTGTCACCAAACTGATCACTCCTTTGCCAAATTGGTACCAGATCACTGATTTTGAGAGCTCCGGTTCATTTGCCCAACTTTGTGCCTTGCTTTGAAAAACTGATCCTCCAAACTATCAATTTCGAACATCGAACTGATCATTCCCTTATAAAACCCACCATTTTCTACCCATTCTCCTTTTCTCCTATTTCAACTTCTGCCAGCATTTCCCCTCACTGATTGTCTGTGTGGGAGTGATGCGGAGAACAAGCATCCATCCGATTATCTTCCCCTCCTTCTCTTCCTTTTTTCATCTTAACTCTTCCCCTTTTCTCCAAAATCCCCACAATTCTCTAATGTAATCTTCACCAGATTCAGATCTTTTTCTCCTTGTTTTTTCGTGCTTGATTCTTCTTGTCTACACTTCCTTTCTCCAGCTTCCAGTCAAGCTTCCAGTCACACCCACGCACCACTTTAAAAAAACGCGAGAAAACCAGCGGAAAAATTAGAAAACAGAACAAAATGAATATCTCCAATCGATTGCCCAACCCCGAAAATCTCCGGCTACAAATTCACAGCTGAATATCTTCTTTTTGTGTCATCTACAAAGCAACAGAAGAGTCGCAATGTAAATGAATGGCGAAGTGTTTCTTTGTGCGGGCTTTGTGCAGGCGCGTAATCGCTCTCCAACTGGCAAATCTCTCTGGTTTTGGCAAACGTAAAGGGGCAGGAGCAGATTGCACGTATTTTTTCGTTCCTCAGGGCACGTAGATACGCTCCAAATTGATTTTCTCGAGATGCCCCTTTGTGCTGTGACTTTTGTGAGTCACATCTTGTTCCCAGATCAGAACCCGCCTCCCCGCTCTCTTTGCCATTGGCAATCCAACTTTGAACTCAAATATCTTTGTGTTGGGCTGTTTAATTAGAACAGTTTCTGTACCAATAGATAGAGAAAGCCTTGGCGCATCTAATGATATAAAGAATATTGCAATTGTATAGCCCAACACCAAGATATTTGTGCTCAAAGTTAGCTTGCCAATGGCAAAAGGAGCGGGGCTGTCAAATGTCCGATAACCTCTTCTGGGCATTATGCTCAAATTCTTAAGCTAAATTGCCAACAAATTTTGCCTGGAATTTGTTAGTATTTTTGAACAATTTTTGAACACGAAGAGAACACAAAAATTTCCTTCTTTTGGAGGGACTTTGTAGGTTAAACAAGCCGCTAAATAGAGGGAAAAATGCGATTGAACTCGAGCGTTTTCATTGATTTTTTGTGATTGTTTGCTTCAATCCAAACGAGTCGAGGTTCAATTTTATCAAAGCTCCAGTTTTACCAGTCAAAATTCCAGTCGAATTTACCAAACTTTTTGCCAGAAAATTCTGTCTTGGCGATTTGATTCCTAAAATCTTTTTGCGAAACATCTCCAACCTTTTATTCATTTCATTCAAACGATAATCATCAAAGCAAATGTCAAATCATCCAAACGATAATCCGCTCTTAAACTGAGTTATCGGTTCTAATGTAAAAACCCTCAATTTTTCAGTGATATCGTTTTTTCTTCTCAATCGGATCATCTCCTCCATCACACACAAATCCCCTGGAAAAGTCTAGTCGAACTTCTCTCTGAAGAAAACAGATTTTCCCGTTTCCTTTTGTTTTTGTGTTATTTTCCCCGATTTGTTTTCATTTTTTTTCGTTTTTTTCGTTTTTTTTCATTTTCTTTTTGCGGTTTCTTGTTTAGATTAATCCCTTCACTTCCAAAAAAAAAAATAAAAAACAAAGAAAGAACAAGATCGCGGAGATTTGAAAAAGATTGATCACAATTTTTTTGCTTCTCCTAATCAGCAGGAATTATTTGCGACTGCGCCGTCCCCCGTGGATTGTGGGGCGCCGCGCCCCCCGTCCTCTTTGTCATTGGCAATCCAACTTTGAACTCAAATATCTTGGGGTTGAGGCGTCCAATTTAAGTAGTTTTTGTATCAATCGATAGAGAAAGACTTGATGCAGCTAATAATATCAAGAATATTTAAATTGGACAGCCCAACACCAAGATATTTGTGCTCAAAGTAAGATTACCAATGGCGGGGGGCAGGGCGTGTATCGAATCTTGGTGCCCTGTGGAATTAGATGCGATTGGACCAATCGATAGAGAAAGAGAAGAGTCGGTCACTTTTTGGGTATCTAGAGTACTAGAGTACTTTGGGCACTTTTTAGAATGACACAGAAACAAAGAGTTTAGCTCGTAGCCTAATGGATGACGTGTTAGCGATTTTTGTCTCTGGTTCAAATCCACTGTCGGTCAGACTTTAGAAAAACACTCGAAAATGACTTTTTTTAAGCAGTAATCTCTTAAATAATATTATTTTGATGTAAAAAAGGTTTCGACTATTGAATAATTCACCCAACAGCCACTTTTTAAGCCAATAAATGGGTCACTCTTTGGGCCAAAAAGTCGGTCACTCTTTGGGCCAAAAAGTCGGTCACTTTTTGGGTAACTAGGTACTTCTTTTCGGTACTAGAGTACTTTCGACACTTTTTAGAATGACACAGAGACAAATTGTTTAGCTCGTAGCCTAATGGATGATGTGTTAGCGATTTTTGTCTCTGGTTCAAATCCACTGTTGGTCAGACTTTAGAAAAACACTTGAAAATCACTTTTTTTAATTAGTAATCTCTTAAATAATATTAGTTTGATGTAAAAAAGGTTTCGACTTTTGAATAATTCACCCAACAGCTACTTTTTGGGTAACTAGAGTACTAGAGTACTTTGAGGACTTTTTAGAGTGACATAGAAACAAAGTGTTTAGCTCGTATTCATTCATTAGACTAGATCAAAATCCGAAGCAATTTTGTAAAGCTTAAACTGAATCTTTTGTCAGCATGAGAACAATCCTTTCCCCTATTTCAAATGCTTGTCTCAATCCCCACCCTTCCCGTCATTTCGTCAAATCGTGGCTCGATACACTTGGGCTTCTCCTCCTTCTTCTCCCCTATTCCATCCGTTGGCCCCACTTCCTGGCTCTGTGAAGAATTTGTAGAAGTTTCTCCCTCAAAAAAAAAACCAAAAAAAGGGATTGGAGGGGGTTTCAGCTTCTAAAAGAAGGGAAATCCTGAAAAAGAGCTCCCTTCGCATAAAGAAGTTCCCAAAAAGAGTTCCCAAAAAGAGTAAGGCTGGGTAGGGGTAGGCAAGGGTGTCTTCTCATTAGCGGACCTTCTCTCTCCTCTTTCAGCCTTTCTCCCTTTCAGCCTTTCTCCTTTTTCTGCCAAATCCCCAGAAAACACTGAGATTCTCTTATTTAAGTTTTGAATAGATATTTAAATAGATTGAATAGATATTCTTTAAACTAGTTGAGCTGAGAAATAGTGCTTTTTGTGAGGCTACAGGAGTGATTGAAGCTTTGTGAGGCTACAGGAGTGATTGAAGCTTTGTGAGGTTACAGGAGTGATTGAAGCTTTGTGAAGCTAGCTATAACGATTTGGCTTG